CAAGGGTATAAAAAAGCGAAAAAACCGTTACAATTTCTGTTGAGAACCTTTCAACTTGAAGACACGACGCAACTTTGCATCACTGGTATTTGTACAACTCTAACAATTCAAAACATTGCGATATTTGATAGTCGCTAAAATTTTTTCGATTCAAAGATCAACGGCCACATCCATCATTCGAATTCAGTCGAAACTACGCCGTTACGCTGAAATCACAGACAAGAACAATGGTAAGTCAATTTGTCGAAGCTAGTCCTCGAATATTCCTAAAAAGTTGTTGAAAAGCACTTTTTTATCTTATTGTAACTGTCAGTGCTTTAAATTAAAACTTTTCTAGAACATTTTGATGATCGCACCATTTTTTGAAGAGGTTTTCATCAAAACAACTTGATATAAATGGTAGCCATTTTGCCATCATTTACTGAATGAAAACTTTCGCAAGCAGATAATCATAAGACGCTTTCAAGTAATTAAGATTAGGCTTTTTCTCAAAAAACTTGTCTAAAGGCCGATATATATCATTATATTTGATTTGTTTGTATTTCAAAGCGTAGGTTATAACTAATTGGGCCTAAATTCTAATAGTAATGCTGCTCGAAAATACCATTGTTGCTAAGGAGCAGTTTCCATGACGAACTTGAGATAGAGGCTGTGCCTCGGTTAGCCTGCAGAAATGTTTTTATTCTTTAGCAATATGTCGGTTTTAAAATTTGCTTGGCAGCCTTCACGTAAATCATTGGTCGAGTTGTGAGCCCACTAACTAAAAACCTATGTCTTAAACCATACAAAGTATCGTTTGCGTAAAACAAAGTTTGATAACAGTATTCAGAATAAAATTTGATAACCTTTTCACATGTTGCTGTCTTCTTTGCAGGACGCTCCGTCGTATCTGTTCCATGATGAAATTTCAAACCATCTCGTTACAAAATACGAATTTTTGCTGAAGAATATCAGTGAGCAATGTGATTTATATTTTCATTGAAATGTCTGCAATGCCTGCTAGTTAATAGAACATCTCTCTATTGAAACTTAATATTATTACACTATTACACTTTTACACTAATATGTCTTTCATTGATGTTTCACTACTTTGTTATGCCGATTAGATTCTGATTTGATGAAAAAAAAGTAAATGAGTCTCACAAGAAAGTACATTATTTACATTTCTACATGTGCAATGTTCTCCATCCCAAACATCGATAAACTCACATGTGCTAATAAAGTTGACACCCTTTTGCTAATGGCTTGTCTGCTTAAAATGCGACTTAAACTTTTTTAATGCGTTTTGCAGATGCCCTGTTCTCGATCATCAAGCACATGACGGACATCGAATCTTCAAGAAAAAGAATTCTGGAAAAGCTTCTTGATGCTGAGTACCGAGTATTTTCCTTCACGCAGGTAAAACCAACTTTCTCATTCTTTCAAGAACGAATATTCGCTTTGACATAACAAAAGATTATTTATTTTTCCACATCCTTTGTAGCAAATACCAAACAAGAAGAAAATGAGTAAAATGGAATATTTTTTAAAAGTAAATCGTTACTTTTCTACACAAAGATTTTTAAAAACAAGTAACAGAAACATAAAAAGCGTTTATCAAATCAATGATTACGTAAGGAGGTGGGTTTTCTCGAAATTTCACACCACTTCGTATTTCTTCTTTTGGCTTTAATTTCTTGCATATCAATTTGTAGATAAAAACTCAAGCAAAGGCCTGTCTCAGTGTCCTTGAAGATCTTCATTTGATGGTGAGTTTAGGTTCTTTTTCAAGTTGATTGAGAATGTAAACCAAGTTTTATTTTATGCAGGTGTAGTGATAACCAATTCATGCGTTGATAGTCGTAATTGTGCAGTGATAAGCTCAAATTTTGTGCACTAAATTGAAGAGATTTGGTATTGAAAAAGTAAGGTGGAACAACTACTATTACCAATCGATACACAAAGTTTAAAAAAGAGCACACAAATAAAAAGAATGAGAACATAACAGTAACAATGATCATAATTTACGAAATAACTCTAAAATTTTAGGTTCTTTTTTAAATTCATTGTCAAATGAAAAGCAGGGTTTACTTTATGCAGGTTTAGTGATAGCCAATCTGTGCCGTGATAATCGTAATTGTGCAGTGATAAAACAAAATTGAACAGATTTGGTATTGAAAAAGTAAATTTGCAGCATCAACTATTACTAATAGAAACACAGAGTTTAAAAAAGTGCACACAAATAATAAAAATGAGCGAAATCCCTCTAAAATGTTATCGAAATCAGTCCCTAGTTTATTTTGTTCATTATCTTCTCCTATTAGATCCTTATTCTCGAAATCATGTTTAAACAATGCTTCTCCTTGTCGAAATCTCTTGTAAGGCTTTGATAAGAGCTGGCATAATTCGAAAATTTCATTACATGCAATTAGTTTGATAGGTGTGGTCATGAAAATTTTTCAAGGGCAACACCCAAATCTTTTAAAAATTTTGAATATGTGCAATGACGAAAAATCTTTGAAATAAACCCTGACTTGTAATGCAATTTGTAATAAAAGTCAGTGATGGGAAAACAAAAGATGTTAATTTGCTGTCATCATGATTATAATATATATCTTTATTAATTTCTTTTCATTTCAGGCTATAGAGAGAATTAACTGCCAATTGATGAAGAAATTTGCCAAGTTAATTCGAAACATCGTCACATCCTGGGACACATTCTTTTTCAGCATTGCTGTTATTGACAAGGTTAGCTGAAGGATTATTTAAAAAAGGCTTTGATTCGATTGAAGTGTCATTTTTTTGATTCAATGACAGAAGCATTATCTTCTGTGAATGTTTAGCTAGAAATTGCAGATCTTGAATTAGAAATTATTTTCTAATAAACAGTGCTTGTGATAATATGACTGCATATCTGGGGCCTGGTAAATAAAGTTTTTAGGGTCACACTATTTTGATGATGATTTTTTCTTTTTGTAATTTCTTATTTCATGTTAAAAATCGGTTTCGGCGAGGCAGCGTTGGGCCGCAATTGGCTTGTTTTTCTCCTAAATCTGATGTTACAAATGAGAAAAGATTAAAAGGAAGTAAAATCCAAGGGGCCAACATGAAATGTTTTAAGCTTCCTACTGGGACATTTCCCAAGTCCCTATTGGCCTCCATGCCCCTGCTGCATATATATCTGTGCATCCTTCTAAATCAAATATGAAAAAAAATTTCTTTTTTATAGAGCCCGGGGAAAGCCTGCCGATCAGAAAGCATCAAGCTTTTCTGCATGCTAGCGAAATTCGATATGACAGAGCTCGCTAAGAACATAGAAAAGCAGAAGAAGCAGATGGAATTAGCGCTTTCAGACCCTCAGATGAATGGTTCTTTAAAAGGTGCCCAGCTAGCTGGAAACAGCTTCAAACTGAAAAACTTGAAATTCGAAGAACTCTTATTCACAGAATTCAATGACATCCCTGAGAATGAAAGGGAACATTTAGAGACTGTAGAAGGACTTCTTGATGATAGTTTCGAATACGTCCCTAAACAAACAAGTGACCCTAAGTACTATCATCCTAAGAAACGCAGCTCTTATGTGGCTTATGATGTCACATTAAATGAAGAGCAATGTCTTGATGAAAATTTGGTGGAAGCGCCAAAGGGGTCGCATGCATCTGACCAAGTGAACAGTGTAAAATTTCAGGCTGCCTTGAAAAGCACCAACGCTGCTGCGGCAGAAAAGCCACTGCAGCGCAACTTTTCTTCTAACATGTTACTTGACAGCTCTTTTGGGGAGAATAAAGTTTTAATTGAAGCTGATAGGCCACTTCTGAACCTCGATAATGCCTGTCTTTCTATGAGCCCCACAGTCATTTTAAATGGAGTTTCTAGTAGTTTAGAAAATCTTTTTGATAAGAGTTTTTCAGTCGACGTAACTCTCAGTCGGGGATTGAAAAGAAAACGAAACGAACCGCTGGGTGACGTTACAAACGGTCTAAGCTCCTTTCCAGGCAACAGAAGCGACTTGACTTCTCTAAAAAGTGCTTCTTATGTTGGCAATATCGATTGTTATAACCAGACTTTGAAGAAGATTAAACTGAGTAGTGAGGCAGAAAATGCTTTCGTTTACCCAAATGCAGTCAAAAATAACTCTGTTGAGGGAAATAGGTTTAAAGGTCTGAAAAGGCTAGGAAGACGGTTGAAAAAAATGAAATTACAACTCAATAAAGGATTAAGGGATAGTAAAAGAAATAATACAGTGTTTCCAATTTAAAACAGTTGAAAAACTTTAGATAACAAAATTATGATATCAAATTGTCATTAATGAATATAGAATGAGTGTATTTATGATCAATAAACGACTTATATTGTTAATTAGATGTGATGTTTCTAATGAGAAATTGATGTATTGAAGAATCTGCTGTTATTTCTTGTTCAATATCTGAGGCGATCGTTATTCACCTTTAGCTTGCTGGTTACAGATACCAATCGTCCTATTGCTGACACTTGAAGTATCAATTCAGGTTGATATAACATTAGAGTTTGTCAGTCTAGAAAGCCAGTAACAAATTCATATACATATTCAGGGAAATCTTATGTTAGTATCTAAAACTGAACGATCACATTTATATAGCAAAGGGTTTTGTCAGAAATATATGGCGCAATTTTTTGGCTGCTTTTGAGCTTGTAAATTTTTTGTGAAAAGTTACCGTCAATATTTAATTAGGAGAAAATACACTATCTTTAATGATACCGTAAATTCTTCAATTGCCCCCACGCTCGAAAAAAGCCCCACCATAAAACTAAAATTGTCAATAAGCCCCCCTTCTCGAATAAGCCCCAATTGTTACCATAATTTCTCGAATTACACCCCTCAATTTGATGATTATTGTCATCTGATGTTGCCTTTGGCGTTTTATTGAATTACCACGAGAATTTATACTTTTGGTTATAATTAATTTAATGCTTATAAAGAAATTCCTACAAAATCAAAGGAGGTCTTTTATAATAATGTCTCTTTAATTTTTACCATAATTTTATAAGACCTTCCTTGTATAAGCCCCCCCCTTAGAATAAGCCCGAATTCAAAAATATCAAAATTAAATAAACGTACTCAGTGGGCTAATCGAGGATTTATGGTACTGCAGAATTCTTGATAATAAATTTTATATCTATCGCCCAAATGTTTGTCTTAAAATAAAAAATCTATTCACAACTGTATTGATTGGTAGATAATAGATTTTGAATGGAAAAGGTTGCAACTTTTCTCTTGCATATATTTTAAACGAATTGTAAATGTAAGACAATTAAAAACTATTCAATATTTCAAGGTATTTCAATCTAAATGTTTATCGTAAACAAAACACTATTCAATATTTCAAGGTATTTCAATCTAAATGTTTATCGTAAACAAAACACGCTATCAACATGTTAAAGTTCCAATGCTTTGTGTCAAGCAGACGGTGAAAATATGACAATATATTTCATAGTTAAACTAAATTATCTTGTTTTTAAGAAGAAATCAGTGTAGTTTTTGGCTATCTTTATAGCATAAAAAGGCATCGAGGTTAGGAATAGAACGACAAAATAGACATGACAACTTTCAATTCTTTAAGGTTGGGATTAGGCTTCTGAACAAGCAGTTAGATACACTTATGAAGGTTCTTTTGGTGTGTAAAAACTAATTGGAGTGTTTAAAGGTTGTTCCTGCAGCTAACTGCTTGAAAAATAGTTAAAATTGGGCCACAACAAACTTTGAAACTAACTTTGCTGCTAATTCACTCATGACGATTGTTACAGGAATAAATATAAGAAACAAGGGAAGTTTCACCTGTAAAATTGAAATAGAGATAGTTGTAAGATATAATCTACCATTCATAGGATAAGGTATGGGATGAAGGAGGAAGTTGAATGCGAAAATATATTTTACCAACTTATCAGAACTTTTCACTGGTGTGGTCAACTAATGCATTTAAAAGCATTTTTGCTCTCTAATCAGCTTTTCTAAAACTAGGCTTACTTCTTGAAAAGCGAATTGACAATTCAATCCGCACTGATAACTTGGCTTCGCATTAGGTTTAGTGATTTCAACGAGCATAGATCTGTAAAGAGCTTTGCCTGCCATAACCCAATGTGCAGATGCAACGTGGAAGTCGAATCAACCACTTCTTTTCAGTGATAACTTGATGCAATGAATAAGTTCGAAGAGTGTATTTGTGTTGGGTTCTTTAGCAAACAGTATCATTTTCATCATAGTAATGCCCTGACAGTGCAGTATTTGCCAACCGAACCAAAAAGAAAATTACACAAAATGTCAAGAACTAGTCCTTTTAATCTTCCTATTATCCTCTTGTTTCACCAAGCCCCACCGAGCCACACCCTGCCCCACCCTTTTGTTTATTAAAGAATACCCAGATAAAATAGTCACGCCACGCCACTGGCCATAGCGCAATATGCAGATGCAAAGATGGAAGTCGAATCAATCACTCATTTCCTTCTGCGTTGCCGGTCACATTTGCATCTTAGAAGAACTTTTCTTAAAAGAACTTTTCTTAGAAGAACTTTTCTTAGAAGAACTTTTCTTAGAAGAACTTTTCTTTGAAGAACCTACTTGAAGAACTCTAGAAAATTGTAAGCAATGATATAACTAAATCATCTGATGATCATCTATGCGAATACTTTGTGGTAGTAGACGTACAACTCAATAGCCAACAAAATGATTTTGGAATTCACTGTCAGGTATATGAAAATATAAATCGGTTTAGATAAAGATATCACCATTAATTGCCCTGAACACATTTTTAATATCCAGTAATCATTTATTTTATGCGTAATGTATTATTTTTTGTTGGATGTAACTGTCAGTGTAATTTAGGGTTGCAGTGTGAGAGACAACTAGATAACCAAGGTTCTTTGCCTCCCATCCCAACACTTCAAATTAATTTTGTATTGTAGCTGTTCTGTGGGCCCCATACATTACCACCGTAAAAACAATAAGGTGTGACTCCTCGATAAATGTCATAGTTGAATTGAATTGATGTGAGAAGTGTGTTCGGGTGTTGCGAATTGAAAGGTAAACTGTGTCTTCGTTTGCTGATCTCTCCCCCCCTCTCTCTCTCTTTCTCTCTCTCTTTCTCTCTCTCCCTCTCTCTCTCTCTCTCTATCTTTGTTTCATACATACACTCTCTTTTTGTTTCATACATACATTTCTATCAGTATACATTTGTCAATAAAATATTTTAAAAAGGTAGCATTATTTTGCCTCTCTGACGTTCGCAAAAGAAATGCCCGAACTATGGCTCCATAACCTTTAATAAAATTTAACTTCAAAATGAGCTAACGATGAATACATCTGTCTGTTATAGAATTCTCGAGTCGGTTACTATCCCAGTGCTACAGATTTAGCTAAATGTGTGTTCATGCCTTTCAATAATCTGACTATTTTCAACATGGATATGTTTCAAATCATTTGCTCCAGTTAGCTCATTATTTGACTCATCTGAAGACACTGAGGACTGAGTCAAAATTCTTTCACATCTTTCCAGCGTAACAGAATCATCAACATAGCTTGCTGTATCACTTAACTTCACCAATGAAATATAAGAATTACAACCTATTGAAACCACTGAAAACTTCTTCTCTTTCTTTGAATGATCTGGTTTGGAATGATTCTCCATGAAACTGAAAATCTTCTTGCTTTGCTGGGTGCCACAGCCTTTTCGCAAAGAGTTTAGATAAACAGCCATTTTGTTTTTCGAATGAAAATATTGCACAGAAAACATGGAGAAACCTCCCAAAGCAGCAATGCCACCAGTAAAGAAAAATGCGAGGGAATAGGTTCCTGTAACTGTCTGCAAATATCCTGAAAAAACAATCATAAATACATATTTAATTGGAGACAGAGAAAGAGAAATTTACAGTAAGAGTCAAGGCTATGAATTGCAATCAGTCTTGCGAAGTGGCCCTGTGACTCCATATTGGCTAGGAGGGCATCAATCGTCTCGGCATTCCCTAGAAAACTACGCCCTTGGTACACCGTTGCCAGGGCAGGCAAAACGTCAGAGCCAACCATGGTTTGCGGCAAGTTGTTTGGGAGAGGAAACCGTTAGTATTTTGTTCAGAAACAGTACCGTCTTAAACCGGTATTGTTTCTGAACAGTGTTGCAGGGTCGTAGCACATGCGCATTGATAACAGTATTCGCACAGCTGTTCTGTCTGGGACCACACAACTCCAGAACTTCCCGCCAGGGCATTAAGTCGTAATGCGCATGTGCAATGACCCTGAAACGGGGGCTAGTGCATGTCTGAAAGACGAGCACGATTCATCTCTTGAACAAAAGATAAATTTTGGAAGCATAGTATTCAAGGGACAGCAGGAAACTGCATCTAAGATATTCTATACATGCATCCAGATTCAAGGACTTTTATTTTGCAAATATCTCGGGCGCGAAAATATTCCATTTGAATTGATTAAGAAAGTCCTTTGAAGGAGGGAATTTTTCCAGACACATGGATGCTAATTACAGTAAATCAATATTCACGTCAGGCAAAAACCTGAAATATGTAACTACAGAAGTGTTTCAGTACTTTCAGTGTTGTGAAAACTATTTGAGAAAATTGTTCATGATCATATTTCGACGTTCATGAAAGAGGATAGACTTTTTCCTAACTGCCAACACGGCTTTAGGCAATTTAATAGCAAAGGCACGTCACCATTCAATGTTACGGAGCCATTGTTTTCAAATATCGATAAAAGAAAGATAAATAGGAGCTTGTTTCAGAACTTAAAATTGTCTTCGATACGGCGGACCATTGTTGGGACCATCTTCATGGCATTGTTGGGGGTCTTTATCAGTTGTTTCCATTTTTTTATGGAACGAGGAGAGACTTATATTGCCAAATCGATGATCAAAAATTGCATAGCAAAACTGTTCGGTGCGTTATACTGCCTCAGGGCGTTATTCACCCCTACGTAATTTTTTTTGTCGATAGTCTCGAAAGGTTTTCCCAAAACATGTTCACAGACGACACTAGAAGAAAATCTTGTAATGAAGATTTAGACTCATTCTGTAAAGATTTTTGAACCGAAAGTTAATGATAACAAAATAATTATCCTGCTTATTCGTCACAAAAGACAACTTAGGTCCTTTAGTGAGCCAGTGCAGTTACAAGTTGAAGGGGAGCCAATAAACTGGGTAAATAAAGTTAAGTACCCGTGGATAACGGTCGACGAGAACCTCACCTAAGACGAACAGTAAAATACTATGCAAGTTACGATAAGAGTTTGGTTTTCTTTGATGCATAAACTAAAAAGTATTTGACCCTAGTCTAGCCTTGACCAAGTCTATAGGGCACTGGTTCAAAGACTTTTATGGTACTGTCTTGAAATATGGGGTTGTCTGTCTGAGACCAAAATATACCCACTATAGTGTCTTCAGGATAGGCCTTACTGATTGAAAATTCCATTAAAAGATTCTATTCTTGGCTATTAAAATGGGTACTATCTGGCATATGTTTTTGAAAGAATTCTGCCTGACATTTTATGGCAAATAACAACAAGTAATGTATCTAAATAGGGAGAGAAGGGAAAGTCTGTTGGTGAGTAATTGGTTATAAAAACAGAATTAAACGGAACCAAATATAAGGCTGTTGAGAGTGTTCCTTGTCACGGGATTGTTGTTATGCCTTTTTAGGACAAAGTTCGACAAGTATCAAGTAATTTTCTGCATTTTAAACTATTTCCTTACCATCTTTTTAAAAGCTCAGAGTAGTAACGTTGTTTTTCAAGGTATAAGATGCATTCATACACAAACAGATGATACCATAACAGACTGCTATCAGAATAAACTGCTTTAAAGAAAAGCATTGAGGATAATTAATTAAAACAGCGCAAAACCTGAAGACAGAAATGCTTGTAATTGCAAAATTTAATATGATTGGCATACCTACAAACGGTGGACCAGCAAGGAGTGCCAAGCAATTGCATATAAGGTATGCACTGTATCCTCTATGGAATTGCTTCTCTGATATCAAATCTCTGACGACAAGCATAGTAGATGCCAAAAAACCACCATCAGCAACACCATACAGAAAGGAATACGCAGCAAGGCCAATAAAGGAGGTTAGTATTGGTACCAGCGTCGTAAGTACCCCAATGCTGATTGCAGCATATTTGCACAGAGAGAGTTTGTTGCCTTTTGGAAGAGATGCAAGCTTGCCGAAGCCTACCTTACCAAAAGCTTCCCCAAACGAGATTATTCCTGGTAGAAATACCGCAATTGAGTACGAAATCCTTGCATCCATCGCTAGACGCACCTATGATCGAAATGAAACTAATTTTGTTTCTAAATTTGATGCTCTTTACAAGAAATCAAGGCTAATGATCAAGAAATGGCTTTTTGGAAAAAGAAAGGCCAAACCACAGACATTTCTTTACGCCAGCATGTCCAGTTCTCGTTTTTCAAAGTTGTAAAGGTACTACTGATTTTTCCGAGTACCACTTTTCATTTTTCATTTCATTTCATTTTTTTTCATTTTAAAATTATTTATGCACGGTAGCCCCGTCAGTCGTGACTGATTTTCAGGGGGCCGTGCCAAAAACTTTACAAATTAAAAAATCTACTAAAATTAATAACAAAAAAAGGAAACTAATAACAATCATAAATAATTTATTTACAACTATTTACATTAAATTTACAAAAAACCCTTTATCCTGTTCTTAAAAGAAGATAAAGAGGGAGCTTGCTTGGCCTTGCGGCTGAGATCATTCCAGATTTTTGCTCCACGAAATGCGAACGCTTTCTGTCCATTACTAGTTTAAACCACAAACCACAAACCAATACTTGAACCCCGGGGGCTTATTGTAGAAATTTCTGCATAAAGGCTAGTGCTTCTCTCTCTGTGAAACCTTTTTACATTTTAGTGACGCTTCCTGAGAGCCTTGCTGGGAATTGAGCCAAATTGCTTGCATTTATCTTGAAACAATAAATTAGAAATTAGCAATTTTTTGTCACGAGTAACTATGTTTTGAACATCAAGATATTTGTAAAGATTTACAGGAACAACAATCTTCTATGAAATGTATAGGAAAAACTATACTTTGAAAACGGCGTAATTATAGGCCTGACTGTCTAAACAAAATAAAACTTTGGCACAAAATATTTCAACATGAAGATTGAAATTCTGCGATCAATTTTTTAACATATATTGAAAAGTAAAATGGGCAACCCTAGAAATATTGGAATCTCTCTTCTATGTCGATTTTTACAAAATAACAAAAAAACGAAAAAATCGTTGTAGAAAACGTCAACTTTACTAAATTCATGGGGATAGGCAGTTTTGCTTCACTTTCTTTTTCCATTCAAACGTTTCAATAATATTGTAAAAGCTATAACTTAAGAATATAATGTTTCATTCCATAGTTTTACTGAAAGTTGTTTCATGAATGGATCTTCTGGCTGTCCGGTCTCACAGCTTCCTTATCAATTTTTGGCTATGATTTTGTGACCTTTTGGAACTTTTTTAACAACTTTTCCTGGTGCACTTGCCTGTATCTTCTAACCAGGCACGCTTGTATTTATAGTTATTTTGCGCAGATTTGTCATCAAGAGTTATATGATCAATCTGAAACACCAAGATCAAAACTTGCAGGCTTTATAGATGACATCCAGGCTCCAGATAGGGACATTTGCCTCCTTGCTTCCCTTTCAGAAATGCCACAGATAGAAAACAAAAATATTGAGTGACACAATGGGGTATGCGATATGACGTAAGTTAGCGACGTACTCACCAAGTGCACAAAGGGAATAAAAACCCCAAAATTGATCAGCATAGAAGCAATAGTATACATGATGTAAGCATAGTTTCTTAGGAGAGGTATTCCCTCTCTTTCAGTCTTGATCGTTATTTCTTTCCTTCTCTCCTTCCTGCACTTCAAAGGATTAGGCCTAAAACTCTCCTCAGGCCTCTTAAATAACACGGATACTGATATAGCAACCAATGAGATCACGCTAGAAAAGAGCATTCCTTTGCTGAATCCATACTTTTGCAAGATGAAACCGAGACTTGGAGCCTGAGCGAGGCCTCCGAGGCTGCTTCCGCACAGCACTATTCCGTGGGCCAGTGATAAGTTCTTTTTGAAATAGAGGGGCAAAATAAGCAATGGAGCAAAATAACACAAACTTTGTCCTATCGCAAACATAAGTCCAAGTGTCAAGTAAATTACGTAAATACTGGATGCGAAAGAAGTCAATATAAGAGAAAGGCCAATTAATGTTCCTCCAAGAAGCAATGAGATTCTATAACCAACGAGGTTAAATACTTTGAATGTAATCGGCGTCAATGAGAACATCATTGATAATGACATCGAGCCAGTCCAAGCTACAAAAAAGTACAATAATCAATTTATATTGACTAAGGGGCGAATCTTGAAACTATTTGAAGGAGTGCTAAAATAGGAAGCTTTGTAGCCAAGGGCGTTGCTCTTGATCACACTTAAATGCATAAACAGTTGTGAGACGAGGCATTGGACAAATACTGCAACTTCAGAAGATGTGCATAGTATAATAGATAATGAACAGTGTAACAATAATAACTAATCTAAATAATAATAGGCCTTTAAACGCCCATTGAATCATGCTCGCAACTTCAACTAGATCTATTTCGTTGAGTCAACGAAGTCAAGTGACTGTAAGCCATTTTCATGTATTCCAGTGCCGCAGTCAACTGCTTACCCTGGGTGCCAGAGCCTCAGGAAGTCAAAGAATGAAGAAGGGGCATAACTGGTCAAAATCAAATATCTGGTTTGGAATTTGTGGCCACACCAGCTAGAGGCGAAAATACCGGAGGGTGGGGGGGGGTTGGTATGACACCCCCCAATCGTAAAAATAGCCGATTTCGCAGGGCAATCGAAGATTTCGCAGGGCAATCAAAGATTTTGCATGGCGCCAAGAAGAGCTTTATTGCCACGCAGAAACGCCACCTCTGAAGTTCGTAAAGGGCCGTTCACGAATTTTGAAATGGAAATATTATATTTGATATAAACCTCCCTTCCTGACATTGCATTTTAGAGAATGGAACAGGTATGTCAGGAAGAGCTCCGTTCAGTGGCGGCCCTTGCTAATGGGCATCTGGGGCAATGCCCCCTCAAAAAGATTCAAAGGAAATCTATGATATTCATATTTAATTTTGAAGATAGTCTTACTGTGGTTAATTATATAAGTTTGTATCTCTTCTAGAAAAAGCTCCTTGCTATCCAGTCTCGTCCTTAGCCTCGCTTCTGGCCTGCTAGTGCCTTGAGCGATGATGTCATTTTACGGGCAAAATTTTTTTGCCCCTAGCCGACATGCGCACAAGCTAATTTTTGACCTCGAGCATTGCGAAACGCGGCCTGCGATTGGCTTATTTGGAGGAATTCGGGGCAAGAAAAATTTTGCCCATAAAATGACATCATCGCTAAACAACAACCACATCTACAGTATATATGCGTTTTCTTCTGCGCTCCATGACGATCAACATCGAACCATGAATACAGTGAAAAATTTGCAAACGCTGTAGCAATATTTATGGTCTGCCCTCCCAACTGTGAAAGTCACAAGCCGCCACTGGCTCCGTTATTAGCAAAGCAAAAGCATTCCTTACCGAAAGTCATAGCCAATGGATGCAATGATTGATGCATAAGTTTATGACGGCAAAGTTGAGTCAACGCAAATTAATTTAAGTTGTAAATTATTTTCATGACAGGTACTTTCACGCCACTGGGGGGAGTAGAGGGCTGAAGGCCCCCACTTTGGTCAAGATAAGAATTTTTTATCATTTTTCTAAAACTTCTTAACAGTGTATGAAATAAAAAGAGAATAAACGTTTAAGATGCCGATTTTGCTTGATCTAATTGCTAACTTATTCACGTATATTTTTTATTATTTTTAATTTATTTGCATTAATTCAGTAAATCATTTTCTGTATCATTGCAATATTTTCATTTTAGAAGTGTAAACATGGCCTTCTCGAGATAAGAAAATGCACATTTCTGTTCAGAAAATAAAATTCTCCCAATCAAAACAACATTGCTCTGTCATTCACAACTATGTGCAAGCTGAAACGAAAGGTTAGCCTGTTTTTCCTTTCACAACGTCAATCACTAGAGTTTTAGCATACCATCCCCCCTCCCTATTTCAGTTTTTTAATCAGTTTCATCAGTCACAATAATCAGTTTTTTAACAGTATAGTATTTTGCTAAATTATAGTCTGGGAGATGCTTTTTAGCCCTTTTAATTTAAAAAATGTTCTTCACGTCGGACCCAACCATGGTGGGTCCTCCTACCCCACTTAACTTGATATGCCATGGAATACAAGCGTTATTACAAAGGAAAATCAAATTTGACATTTAATTTACGCTCACGTAAAAAATAGATATTTCATAGGCAATGAAGTTTCAAGTTTGTTTTTATTGCTTAGAAGTTTGTTCTTGGCAAAGACAAATTTACACTGGTAAAGCTTTCACTAGTAACCTATAGATAAACCTTTGCTATGAGGTCTGCAGGGCACCACTCATTTTCGCAGGGCAGAAACCCTTTTCAACCCCCCCCCCCAAACCTATTGGCCCAGTTACGCCCCTGACACCAGCAGAATAGGTGAGTACTGGGCATGACCAACGAGATCATGCCCTTATGCCCCATTTCAGAGCTATATACCATGTGTATTTTCACGAGGAAACTGAATTCGACCTAACCTACGTCATGCGTTTTAATAACTATTAGAAGAATTCTGTGGACCATGATTTAATAAATAGGGTGAGGGTAATCACAACCCATACAATCCGGGAATAATATACGGTAAGAGTATATCTCTCAGAACTTTTTGCCACTGTAAAAATTAACTACCCTTGCCCTCTGGTAATGAGAACATTTTTGACAAACAAGGAATAAATGATGCGTTTCAATGCGTTTACCAATCATGAGCACTTTCCCAATCCAGGTTACGGCCCTATGTCATTTCTTTTGTGCTAAAAGCCGAATAACAATGGAGCATCTATTTTACTTTAATTTCAAAATTTATTCTTATCTAATGAAGGAAACAAAGAAGATGATAAATAAAGCGTTCCTTTTCATTTAACAAAAGATAACAAACTTGTTGACAGCAAATAGGTTAAGCCATCAGCGTCACACAAACACTTCATGCTGGGGGTAGTGCTGAACGGTCATCCATGGCACTGATGCAGGGGGCAAATCATTCCATGAAAATCACACACATATTTGCTAGAAATCCTATAGTAAATCCCTATCAATCCTTTTGTTTCTGTCTAAATCCAGTACGCTATTTGAAAGAGTGAATTGCACCCACTCCCCCCGACTCTACGCGAGCATAAATTTTTTCTTAACCGTCTCGTTTTAGTCGAGTGAATTGCCCCTTGGGATCCCACATGCCACCCTCTTTTTAAAAGAACTAGTAAATTGAAATTCAGGCTGGCTGTTCTTAATTCTTGACTTTCCCAGGCTGGATTGCTTTTTATTTGTTCTTAACAAGTAAGTGAGTTGCAAACAGTGCAATTGCTAGCCATCTACGCAAGGGGAGTGTAGTGTTCAGGCCACATTTGATGAATTCCCGACAAAGCACCCCTATATTGCAAAAAATCGTTTTTAAAAGGAATTTTTATGTGATACAAATAAAAAATCCTTAAAAAGTATTATTGTGACATCATTGTGTTGTCATCTAGAGAGTATGTTGGAAATAATGAAACTACTCAAATCATGAAGAATCCGGAACCTGATTGTTTACCTTCGCCCAGTTAAGGGAAATTATTTGGGGGGTGGCGGGTTGTTTGAAAATTAATGGGGGATATGGGATTGTTTAAGCTAAATTCTAGTTGACACGGTACTGAATTTAAATATCTTGAAAACATTTTCTCGTACCTATCAGCGCGTTGCTTTCTGTAAACTTTTCTTGCATCGACACATAAATAGATGCGAAAACACGGTAAAATCCAAACGCTGTAAACTGGACCAGAAATGCCGAGGCACACAGAATGCACTGAAAAAGTACTTTTCTTCTGCTTTGCGTTCGTTCTGCGTCGTTGCCAACCATTTTCTTGAAGGAAAAGTCTCTGGATGCCGATAACTTTGAAAAAGACTGATCTTATTTACAAACAGCCATGAGGTCTATGACATGCAACTATTTTGTCAGTGATAGTCACGCACATGACTCGGCAGGTATGGAGAGCTGAGCATTGTAAAGAAAAGAAAGGCATTTGTATTAGACAATGTCATTTGCAGGTCACTGCCTCCCTTTATACAACCAGCCTAGTTACGTCACTACGAGGCAGGGCCACCGAGAGACGAGCCTGGGCCAGGGGCAGCACCGGGCTAACAGGGGCTAAACCCCTCAAATTTAACAATAGCAGGTTAGACTATTTATTCAAGTGATAAATTTCTGATTTGTCTTGTTATATTTGTGATGTTTGTGTACATGATTCGAAAATGTATGTTGGCTCGTATCCCAAACAGGCATACACTCTTTTTTAGAAGAACCTGTAAATTGAAGTTCAGGCTGGCTGTTTATTTTTTTAAAATTTTGGGCTGAATTGTTCTTAATTGGTTCTTAAATTATTGGGGTGAGACAAGTACAATCACTGGGAATTGTGCTCTAGGGAGGTGGTTTACAATTAGGTACTCACGAAGGTACTACGACAACAGGTCAGTCGCTCAAATTTGACGGATTGTAAGCTTCTGTGAACCGAACTATTCATAGATAAGAATTTAGGGAAGCAAGGTGATAGAAAGGGAGCAATTTCCGGCGTTCTAAAGGAAAAGCCCCCAACTTAGCCCCTTTGCTTTCAGGTTGTTTCACAGTCAATGTCCAGGGGCATGCCTAATGCTTTGACCCCTTCTTATCATTTTAGCTCTAAAATGTCTTTAGTTCTCAAATAAGCTCCCCCGGGGGCACTTATTACCCTGGGTACCAGACTCATTTTATATAGAATAAGATAGTCTGGTTCAGTGCGCCCTACCCTGGGTATCAGACTCACTATATATAAAATAAGATAGAGAGTCTGATACCATTATTCTATATAGTAAGTCTGGTACCCAGGGTAAGTGCACCCGGACCTCGCATCGGTGAACATGCTTTCAAAGCTGTTCTGTGTTAAGTGCGGAAAATATTCACTGACTACAATTTTAAAAGCGTCTTCAAATTCAATCGATACGGTCGCCAGCATTAACATATGTTGTGATCTGTTCAGCGTTTTACAACAGAGCTACGTTTATTTTTTCGCCTAGACTATTGAACGTTCAGAAATCTGTACACTTGCTCCTGATTGGTTAATATCGGCACACCAGAACGTGAAGAGGGGCGCACTGAACCAAACTTTCTCTTGTTTATAAAGAGTGAGTCTGGTACCCAGGGTAGAGGCTTGTTAGCAGTAGCCAAAAGTATTACCAGGGCAAATGTTCCTCCTCTTTTTGGGGCTGGTCCTTATGCTTAAAATTGCAGGTATATTGAGATAAAGCTGTCGCTGTCAGGGCAATACCTCAGCCAAAGGAGGCTTATTCGAGGGTGGGGGCTTTTTTTGAGGATTTACGGTATATTCAGATCCTAGCAAGCTTTCCAGCATCTATGTAGCTAACGAAGATAGAACAGATATACATCTGGACGTTTTTGATGGTTGATCGAGCTCCAGCACGCTTGTGACACAATACTATCAAAGCTTTCTCCCTAAAAAGCTGCCATCGTGTAAATCATCAGCATTTGATATAAGCAAAGCATAAGCATAAAGCTTAATAAGGGAAATAGTATTGAAACATTGTTAA